AAAAGAATTAAAATGTGTTATATACATACACCAACTCCCTACGGTGAATGTAATCATTGTGTACCACAAACATATACTAATAAAAATCAAAATTATGCTGGGCCTGGTGATGCATGCCTCTAATTGCAGTACTCAGGAGGCTAAGGTAGGAAGATTGCTGCAAGTCCGAGGCCAGCCTGGGCTACAAAGTGAGTTCAAAGCCAGTCTAAACTGCATAGCCAGACCCTGTCTCAAAAAAAAAAAAATCAATTAATTTAACAAAGAAAGTAGCTAAATAAATAAATAAATGCTGGAGAAGCTGCAGAGGAAAAGGAACACTTCTGCACTGTTGGTGGGAATGTGCTGGTGGGAATGACCACTTTGGAAATCTCTGTGGAGATTCCTCAAAAAAGTGAAACCAGAAATTCCATTTGACTCGGCTATTTCGCATGTAAATATCTTCCTGAAAAAGTTAAAGACATCATATTACGGTGATACATACATACCCATGTTCATAGCACTACAATTCACAATAGCTAAATCTTGGAAGTGGCCCAAATGTCGGCCAACAATGAATGAATAAAGAAAATATGGTTTTCACATACAATGAATACTATTCTGCCACAAAGAAAATGAGTTATTTGTAGGAAAATGGATACACCAAAAACATAATGTTAAGTGAAATAAACCAGACACACAAACTTAAATATTGCATGGTTTTTCTTGTATCAAAAATCCAAAGTAAAATAAAGAGCCAGTAAAAGATAGACAATAGGAAGTAGGGAGGTAGATCTTTCTAAAAGGGGAAAGGGATCAAAAGATGGAGGGAGAGGAAAAGTACAGGAAAGAGCATGAAAAAAAGGATCAACATGTGTCATGTATATGTACCAATTCCCCACAAGGAATGTAAACATTATACACTACAAATACATACTAATAAAAACAAACAAGATAATTACCAAGTTTTTTTTTAAAAAAGACAGTGACCTTAAAAGTACATTTGAGACACCATCAAATCTCCCCATGTGCTGGATTAAAATCAAGGTGGAATATCCTGAGATAATTATAGAAGCCCTGGAAAGCCTAGTTTGATTTCCAAAATTCTTCTTTGTTTGCAGTGACAGCAAGTAAAATGAGATTTTGGAGTAGACTGGACATAAGCAACCCACTTCAGGTGTCACTGTCACCCAGCACCCCCAGATGGAGTATCAAGTTGCAGATAAACAAGCTCAGGGCTCCCACTGATTCTGCATCATGATGAATTGTATAATGTATAACATTATATGTTATAATGTAATAATGGAAATAAAGCAAGCAATAAATCTAATGTGCTTGAATTATTCTGAAAACATCCCTCCCACATTTGTGGAAAAACTGTCTTCCCCAAGAAACTAAAAAGTGGGGGACTGCTCTAAGCCCTATGCTTATTTTCTATTTCTGAACTTATTTTACAATAATAAGGTAAAGAAGACCATCGGTGCTTGCTCCTTGTTACATCCATCCTTCTACATTCTTTGCACACATTAATGCAGTCCACCCTCCCAGTAACTGTGAGAAAGAGATTAAATTAAACAAATCTGTGAAAAGTGTTAAACCTTACTAGTAATTAGGGAAATACAAATTATATCCAGATGTCATTACATCACCTTTCTTCCTTCTTCCTTTTTTTGGGGGTGGGGTGGGTGTTCTTGATACAGAGTCTCGATATGCAGTTTAGGCTGGCCCTGAACTCACTGTGTAGTCCAGGCTTGCCTCAAACCCGAAGTTATCCTCCAGCCTCGGCCCCCTGAGTGCTGGGATTAACAAGCGTGCGCCACCACACCCAGTCTCCCCTACCTTTCAATGGGCACAAATCTCAAAGTTAGACAATGTCACTGTGAGCAGCTAGAAGAGGACTAGTGGGCTAAGGGTATAGCTCAGTGATAGGGCACTTGCTAGCACAAATGAGACCTTGGGTTTAATACCTAGCATAAAAAAAGGTACCTTTCCACAGAAACCAGAAACACGCATACCTCTGCACTAAAACGTGCACACACCGGTTACACACTGCAGAAACAGGCAAAAGGTGCAACAGAACATGTACAAAGATATTCACTGCATGTTGTCTGCAGTAAGTGAGCAATGAACTATCAGAATGAGAAAGAATAAATAAGATATGGAATATTCACGAAGGAAAACAACAGCAGGTTAAAATGAATAAAACAGTTCTATAAATATCAACTTGGACCCAGGCACAGTAGTACATGCTTGCAATACCAGCACTAGGAGAGACTGAGGCAGGAGGATAGCAAGTTTGAGTTATGCATGTAAAACTTAGTGAGACCTGGTCTCAAAAATAAATAAATAAATAAAAGTGCTAGGGATGTAGTTCAGTGTGAAGATCTTAGGCTGAAAACAAAACAAAACAAAACAAAAAAAGGGCAGGGGATGTAGCTCAGCCACACAGTGCCTGCTTGGCAAGTGTAAGGTCCTGAGGTTGATTACTGATACCACAAAAAAAAAAAAAAACTTGGATGGCTCTCAAAAACATGCTTATTAAGGGCTAGGGCTATAGTTCAGAACTTGTGAGGTCCTGGGTTCAACCTCAGTCTTACACATACAAACACCCAGATAAAAAATGCTAAAAAAAACAAATTACAAGTAAATAATATGGTATTGTACTTTCTATTTTAAAAACTTAAAAATAATCTCGGCATGGTGATGCACACCTATAATCCCAGCATTTTGGTAGGCCGAGGCAAGAGGACTGAAAGTGTGAGCCCAACTTGACAACTTAGTGAGACCCTATCTCAAAATAAAAAAAGGGCTGAGGGTGTAGTTCAGTGCAGAGGTCCTGAGTTCAATCTCTGATCGATCTCTCTCTCTCTCTCTCTCTCTCTCTCTCTCTCTCTCTCTC